ACTCTTGTCACTTGGAGTAATAACCTGTTTCTAAATATAGTGTAAAAACTCTCTCATTCAATACCAGTGGACAATACATAATTGAGTTGTGAAATACTGTGCATGGAAGTTGCCAGATGATAAACACACAAATTCTGAAAGGGATGTTATAACAGCAGTTCTGAACTAGATGGTATCCTGGGTATTTCAGAGTGCCTTCAGATTGCTCAGAACCTTACAGCGTATTGATAACTTGAAGAGTAAACATTGTTAACAGAACGGCATTTGAAATAGTTGCAGGTATATTTGGAAGTATAATTAGAAGTAAAATTTACAGACTAAATGAGATCTAAGTAACTTAAGAAAGACACTGCAAGACTATCACTTCTGAAAATCCCGCAGGTAAATTTATGGGGGGGGAAAGTAATAAACTTTACAGATTCACAGTCTCACTTAATGTGACCAAACCTGTATTTCAAGACTGATTTAACTGAATTAATTTCAGTTTGCAACTGAAACTTCATATAACTAAAGGACAACAAAACAGGAAATAGCCATGATTAAGACATAGCACGTGTTTTTTCAAAGTTAATATGACAGAAATTTTTCTATACATACTTGCTTTGTAAGTTGTCTGGAGAAAATGATCAATTATTTAATGTGCATACACAGAATGATAGAATGGTTAGGGTTGAAAGGGACCTTAAAGATCACCTACTTCCAACCTCCCCCTCTGCTATAAACAGGGACACCTTCCACTACATGAACATAATATTTAGCTCATATACTTGATTGAGATGCATAAAAATGGCATGTACACTTGCTTTTGTCAGTAAGATTTATAAATAACAATATTAAGTTGTGAGTTGCTAAACTTTTCCTTTTGTACAGAAAGTCCTGATTTCTTCAAGTCTCCCTTGAGAAAAGTGAATCAGATGAAAAACCAAAGATGAAGAATTCTAAGAACCTCTCAACAAGCTTGACAAGGACAGCAAAAGTCTGGTTTTTTTTGGTAACTGCAGTTGCCAAAGGCTTGCTGAAGTAAAATTGATGAGCAGGAAATCCACGAAAACTTCTGACAGGATCACAAGTAGGAAGCATTTTATTTCACACTAATCACAGAAAGGTCCTGTTTAGGAAAGAGGGCTCTGACAGTGAGGTGTTTTCAGCTGCAGCTCAGACCATGGGGTCTGTCACCCACTCCTCTCCACCCAGTAAGACCGGGAGAGAAATGCAACAAAAGGCTCATGTAAAATCAATTCTACCACCATAGTTTACAAAATCACATCTTAAAATACCTTCTTAGTACTGATTTTGAAGTTGTATACATAAAAATGAAGATCTCTCAGAAAACACAGACCTTACTGAAAAGCTTTTAGTAATTTATGTCACGAAGTAACAAGCTGGCCCAACTCTACAGCCTCTGATATCAGACGCAACTTTTAACAGACTATTACAGAGTGTGTAAAATTATAAAGTTATGTAAAGTTCCAGCTGATGAGAAAACAGTTGAACACGTGGCTCAGTGTTTTCCTGCTAGATACTCTGATTTATTATACAACATATTTAACTTAGTAAACATAAACAAAAATAACCCCTAATATAATTTATGTCGTAATTATGTTAAACAGAAATCACCAGATATTCTGTATGTATGAAACCCAGCACTGGTTTTCTTTAATTTTACATAAGATTGACTAATTACAGACCAAATGCTTGAACTTCACTCAAAATTTTTAGATCAGCAAAACAAGTAGTCTACAATAGTTGACTTTTGCATGTCTACACGATGTAAATAAGACACTGCTCACTTTAGACCCAAATATGTTTCCCTGGCCAAGATGCAAAGCTATTTTAAATGAACACTACAACTAAGGAATAAAATCTTATTCATGTAACCTAGCCAGCAATCAAATTGAATGAGAAACTGAATCCAGATGCAACTGTCTTAAGAGTCTTGTAACTACTCAAACAAATCCTCTGGTTCTTGAAGCCTGCTCTAAGCAATGGAGCCCTCAGTAGATGACCCCTCTAGAAAATAATCTGCCATGGGATCCAGCAAAGTATTTTGCTGTCCTGTTAGAAGAGGTGCAGGGACAGAATCTGCTAGAGCGTGAAATACTTCCAGAATATAAATACTACACAGCATCAGGAAGCAAACTGCTC